GTGTCTCTTTACCAACCACTGTATATTATTCAAACTCACTTAATCCAGCTGGCTAGTTGTTATAGGAGTAAATCCCTGTTCAACATGAGTCTGACAACTAAGTAAGTAGAATAAATAACTTTAAACTTTAACACATGCTCAGATAGGCCGGGATCGGGTATCGGATCAGAAGTGCAAAAAGCTGGATCAGGACATCCTTAAGGTCTACCTTCCCCAAAACCCCCATCTCCGTTTGCCCAAATATCAGAGATGAGTGGACAGAACATTTCCTTTTGGATTGTTTAGTTTTTCTGCCACACTGTACAGCACCAGAGGTTGGAAACAGGTTCCCCACGGAGTCCTGCAGAACCTTTTAGAGCCTGATCTCGGGGACAGAAGTCTTTATGTTTATGTTTATGCATTTTATCCAAAGCGACTTACAGAGTAGACACAATATTACATTTCTCATCACTATGACAATAAGCTATCCAGAGGAGAAACACTGATCAGAGTCAGTGGTGAGATATACTGTAGATAGAGGTAGAGGGACTACAGAAAGAGCTGTGGGGGGGGTAGAGGTACGGGTTAGGGTTAGGATAGGAGATGCTCTTTGAAGAGGGGGGTCTTCAAGAGTTTCCTAAAGATAGAAAGAGACGCTGCTGTTCTTGTAGCTTGGTAGGTGGTTCCACCATCTTGGAACGACACATTAAACAGTCTGGATGGTCTTAAGCTGGTGAAGGCTCTGCTAGACCACAGTCCACTGATGACCGGAGGGATCCAGTTGTGACATAAGCCTTTGCAAGAGGATCCAGGTAGATGGGAGCCGGACCCTTAAGCACTTTGTAGGCTAGCATCAGGGACTTGAATTTGATACGGGCAGCCAGAGGTAACCAGTGGAGTTCAATGAACAGAGGGGGGACGTAAGTCTGGCTGATATTTTAGGGGGTGCTCGGAGAGGCGTGTTTGAGCCGTTGCCTCCAGCTTTGCTGCTGTGGGACACCTGTGCTAACTAGGGTTGTCACAATACTAAAATTTTAAACTCGATACCGATACTCAGGAAAATACTTGATACCATTTTCGATACCACAAGGAAAAAAACAAAGAGCCCAAAATTGAACTGAATTGTGTCTTTCATTTCAAACTGACCTGTTACTGATGTTATCGTGACTGGTGGCCCACATTAATGACCCTAACCCTCCAGCCTTCATAATTGTGAGAAATAAATATCTTTTGGTTAAACTTGTTTGGACTTATTGTACAAACCTATTTATCATACACTATTTTAACATAATATTATGGATAGAGTTTAATTCAGCGTTTGCAAGATTCATTTCACTATTTTTAAATTAATGCCTATATTGCCATGAAGCAATTAGGATTTTCTTGCCTGGGATCTTCCTATTGGTGACCTAATCAAAATGGCCGACTTGGATCTGGGCGGAGTTGGATATGTACTTGATTACTGTTGGCGTGTTGTTATTAGCCATTAGCCGCAGCTAGTAAGGCTAACGTCTTGTTAATGATCATAAACAACGTAAATAAATACATAAATAAATCTGAGAGAAGGGGCGCAGCGACGGTGGTATCGATACTTTTGAAAATGAGTATCGTATCCGGAAACAACATTTTTCGTATCGATACTTTTTCGAGTATCGATACTTTTGACAACCCTAGTGCTAACCCTCTGGTCCTCTCCGTGTGCTTCAGGATGGAGCGGATGTCCGACGAGGCGCTGAGGTTAAATTAATGTCTATATTGCCATGAAGCAATTAGGATTTTCTTGCCTGGGATCTTCCTATTGGTGACATAATCAAAATGTCCGACTTGGATGTGGGGGAGTTGGATATGTACTTGATTACTGTTGGCGTGTTGTTATTAGCCATTAGCCGCAGCTAGCAAGGCTAACGTCTTGTTAATGATCATAAACAACGTAAATAAATACATAAATAAATCAGAGAGAAGGGGCGTAGCGACGGTGGTATCGATACTTTTGAAAATGAGTATCGTATCCGGAAACAACATTTTAGTATCGATACTTTTGACAACCCTAGCGCTAACCCTCTGGTCCTGCCTTTGTCCCTCAGGATGGAGCGGATGTCCGACGAGGCGCTGCGGTTAAAC